GGGCCCGGAACCAAATCAATTCTATCTGGGCTTAGCAGACTTGATGGAAATATTTTGTTTACCATCATTGACTCATTAAAGGCAGAAGTTTCTGAAAAGCTGCAGCGATATTGGGATACAATTGTTAATTAAGATTCACTGATGCAGAATTAAGTGCCGCAAGGATTTTAAAAGGTCTTGTGGTTCGCCAATGGAGCTGGCAGTAGTGTCGGACAGTGAGGAGGTTGGGGAGGAGCATGGGCCAGTCCTGGTGGCTGGGGAAGGCTCGGACGAGGGCTCTGTGTCGGAGGCAGAGTGGGGGCCGAGGCCGTATGGCGGTTCTCATCTTATTTCCAGGGAGGTTTAAGGTGGCGAGCGTGGTCATCTCGTGGCTGCTGTTGTGTTGCAGTATTTTCCGGGAGGGCTTATTTTAGTGCATGCGCTCAAAAGCCCGATTGGGCTTATTATCTGGGGAGGTCTTATTTTCGGGAAAACAGATACATCTATTCTGCAGATAATAAAAATAGGAATCTGCCTTTATCGTCCAACGGAAAGATGGAACCGAGCCCCGATTTTGAATCCTTCCAAGTGACAGCAAATTCACGGAGAGCAACTGCATCCTAGGGGGAGGGCATCGTTTGAGACCACCACAATGGAGAACCACTTCATAAAATGTTTATTGAGGATGGTAACACAGGATAAATCATGCAACAGAGTTCAGTTTTAAAAAGAAAAGAAAGCTAAGAGAATGATTCAGGAACAAGTCTATAAAAGGAACATTGATCGTCCAAAACAACAGGCACGTTCTAAAATTGCTGGAAAAGCTAAATAAAGACGTTTTTTTACTTGTAAAAGGATTCTGTATTAAAAAAGATAGGAGACACCGTTAAAAATTGCCGCCTGTGGATGATTTCAGCCAGACGATGATCACAGGGGGTGGGGTGAACTCTGCTGTCAATAGAAAATGGTTTAGAAATAACACGCACACACACCCTCCAAAAATTGCGGAATAATTTTAGTCAAGACGGGGGCACATGCAAACAAGAATGGCTGCTGCGAAACCGTTACTTTAGAAGGGGGGGAAAAAAATCAAAAATTGTGCATTGGCACCCAATAGTTTTAACTCAGGCGAAGAGAAGTAAGAGGGGAGTATTTATTAATAGATGCTACCGACGGGAGCATCATTTTTATGGAAAGGAAAAAGCGAAAGGGAGCAATTGAAGGCATTTGTGAAACCGTGACGCCCTTTTCCGCGAGCGTTTTCCGACAACGCTTTTTGGATTTCAGCCTACGCACAAAACGCTCCGCGTTTGGAGGGCGAGGAACCAAAAGGAAAATAAATACAGGTGGGAATGAAATTTGGAAACGAACAAGGGAGGGAGTTACCATCCGTCAATCAGCCCAGGCCTGTGCGCGCCAAAAAAATAATAATCATTCAGCAATTGACAGGAAATCTTTTGGAAAAAGAAGTGGGTTTTTTTTTTTTGCGCTGATTCTTGATCCCCAAGTTTCCCACCCACCCAAAAAGAAAGAAAGGAGAAAAAAAAACCTCACTGTGTTTTTGGAACTACTCCAATTTGAAACTACACGCTGAATTAAATCCACACGGTATTAAGTTTCTCTCGTGTAAAAAATCTTTATACATAGTAATAAAAAAAGAGAGGGAAAGGGGGGGGGAGGCAAGATGCATCCAACAGAAGTCATTTGTTCTCTGGACCTACAGAGCCCACCCAGCCCCCGCGCGGGGGTCTCTCTGCAAGGAGAGGGCGGGGGGGCCGTCTGTTCAAGCATCTTCAACCTCTTGACGGTCGGGATTGTTCTCTCTACGCATCCGGGATGGAGCCCCCCGTGGCACTTTAGGCTGGCAAACTCAGCTTCTTCCCTTTGAGCACTGGGGGGAAAAAGGAAAAACAAGCTCAGTTCAACAGAGATACACAAACTTTCCCCCATCGAAAGCATGGCTGCGCAGGAGAAATTCTCTCCCACAATTAGTCCTTGACTAATGATTAGAATTCTCTTACAGTCCTTGACTTATGACAAGGGAATTCTCTTACAGTCCTTGACTTATGATTCAAATTCTCTTACAGTTCTTGACTTATGACAAGGGAATTCTCTTACAGTCCTTGGCTTATGATTCAAATTCTCTTACAGTCCTCGACTTATGACAAGGGAATTCTCTTACAGTCCTTGACTTATGACAAGGGAATTCTCTTACAGTCCTTGACTTATGACAAGGGAATTCTCCTACAGTCCTTGACTTATGACAAGGGAATTCTCCTACAGTCCTTGACTTATGACAAGGGAATTCTCTTACAGTCCTTGGCTTATGATTCAAATTCTCTTACAGTCCTCAACTTATGACAAGGGAATTCTCCTACAGTCCTCGATTTATGACAAGGGAATTCTCTTACAGTCCTTGACTTATGATTCAAATTCTTTTAATCCTTGACATGATTAGGGAATTCTCTTACAGTCCTTGACTTATGACAAGGGAATTCTC